AGCGTGATCACAAGACGGCAAACTTACCAACACGCCGTAAACGACAATAAGCTTTGAGATTTGGTTTAAATTGTGCAGAAAGGTGCGATGATTCATTTTTCAAACCAGGGGGGCTCGCGAGTGCCGATGTGGTTGCTGTGTGATGGATGTGTCTTCCCCAGGGGGAGTTGATGTCTTTTTAGCTTTACTGTAAATGTTTACATTCCTACATGCACTGATGCTATCTGCTAATAGTTTCTGGAACAAGCCTGAAGAGTCCTCTGGGTGAGATTATTTGCAATATGTGTGTGTGTGTGTGTGTGAGAGAGAGAGACAGAGACCAGGTCAAAGGGAAGCAGATCTGTCTTTAAACAGAGGTATTAACCATGACCCCTCTCTTTCCTGAGTCCTGCCCTGTGTCTGCTGAGGGCCAACGCATTAACAGCAGCAAAACACACTCCACCGCTCCATCTTTTTCTTCCCCCCCAAAAGCCAAAACATTTAACCGCTTCTGATGGCGAGATCAACAACTGGCAGAGTCTGAATAATTTCTCTGACAAGCCTCCGTGCCGTTTGAGCTCTAAATCCATTCATCTCGCAGACAGCGAGTCTCAGCGCCAGCAGCCGTTACGTGAAGATGGTATTGTTTAAATCAACAAGGCCCTTGAGAAAATGATTCCTGCTACAATGGGCGCATCGGAAACGTAGCCGTAATTGCCGCTCGGGAGCCTTGTGAGAATTCTCCGTCAATAGATCTGTATCTTAAAAGTGCAGCCAAGCGTGGATTAGGTGAGGGCTGCCATTCCTGTGTTGCTCACCGCAGAAGCAGCTCCACCCTCCAGGCATTCCTCTCAGCTGAGAAAGCGGCAGCGACATAAAAGACAACAGGAAATTACCTGCTTCCACCGGTATTATTAAGTGTTATTTAAATCTGCCTTTTAGTGCTTCAGATTGTTCGAGCTCGATTGTTGGAAGAGGCGGACAAACATGTTCTTCTGCACCGCCGTCTGGCTCCCTTTCATTTTCTGTCCTTCACGAGCCTATTCACGGGGAGACACAAAAACAAAACACGACTCGCAGTGTTTACATTCTTGAGCGTTACATATTTATACGTAGAGTAATGCCTGATGGCTCAGCCGACTACTGGCTGGAGCGCATCCCCCCCCTCGATGGAGAAGCAGTTGAAGAATCGACAATGCTGCGGCCTGAAAGTGATTTAAAGGAGTGATAATTGAGGAGCGGACAGAGAATATGGGTTTTGGATTTTGTGCCAGAAATGTGTTTGAGTGCTGAGACTCTTATCTGTGGACTGTCTGATGATAAATGGAGCAAGGCGACCGACCCAGCTCCACAGCTGCTCAGCTTATTATAAGGGGACGGTTATTGTCGGTAACATTTGTAATATGGTGCAAAAAAAACATGAGGAGCTACAGAGGAACTAGTGAGGAGCAAACCAAGAACAGCCTGATGAATTAGGCATTAATCAGTGGCACCAGAATGACAACAGATAAATTCATAGGAAACAGATTGTGATGCTGCTGCTGCATGACACAAACTAGTATTTATTTCTAATTTTTTAACTGTAGGAACTTGCCGGCCTTTTTTTTAGGGAACCGTCTCTGGAGAGCCTCTTTTTAGAGCTTGTTTTGGGGGAAGAAAAAAAAGCACCTAGTTTGATCCACCCGAAAACGTGCAGGATTCTACGCTGATTGGTTACATTTGGAGAGAAAAACAAGCACCATTTGTTCTTATCTCTCAGTGTCCTTGTCAAGCGGCAAAGCCATCCCTGTAAATGTTGGCACAACATCACTCCTGCACTCGAAAGCCACCTTCTAGTTACTATGTTCGTGCTCTTTCTCGATTGATAATTCCTGAACAAAAACTCAAGTTCTGAATTTTGTATGTGGATGCTTTAATTTACTCAGTAAATCCACAGCTGGCTACAGCTCGGTTAGTAGCTCCTCAGTGTGATACGTCACTATACTGATGAGGCATAAAAAGAGTTTGCAGATGCCACAAATGATCGTTCTGTGACTCAACCAATGAAAGCAATGACACAAATTGACAATAATGTGTCTGAAACCTCAATTTGCACAATTACATAAACTATTGAGTGTCTATTAATTACGACTATTGAGTTGTTTTTAAAAAAAAATAATAATTAATTCTAATTAAAATAAATGATATGTTCTAAGTTCATGTCATGTGGGAAGGAAAGGAACGATGGGATGACTTCACATCACCAGAAAACTCAAACTGGCGGCTACAGTCATTGTACACGTCCACCTGTTTTAATAAGTAAATACTAACAAAATATATGTAACAGACAGAAAAATATGTTAAATGTCTTAGTGTCATAGTACATAGCAATAATCATTTGCAATAATCCTCCACATAAAGTTGCTAATCACTGCAGAGGTGGACATGTAAAGGTTAAAAATGCTGTTTCTGCTCATTTTAGTGACGTATCTGTTACCCAAAGTAAAACCAGGCAACTGAACAAATAATTTTAGCCTCATACCAACATGAGACCAGCTTAAAGGATCACAATAGAGTTATTACGGATCTTCCTGAGGGGACGTGAACTTGTGGATCATATTGTATTGCAGTTTTAGTCAGTGTTTACGCAAATGACAATATGTTATGATGTATAGTCCAGCATTAGCATATTATTTCAAACTGTTCTGTTCATTGCAACTTGGGTCTTTTTAGAAGCTCTTCATTCCTGTCAGTGTAGTCATCGTTTCAGAGGATGAAGGATGTGGCTAAGATATCAGATGAGGCAAAAGCATGAGTCAGACAATACACATTTTAAACTATCTTCCAGGTTGGCTGCACATAATGAGAAGAAAAGCAAAATGGAAATTTACAACCTAATCTCTCCATTAAACTGGTTTAAGATGGCTGTAGCATTCTTATTGTAGTAGTGCATTAAATAGGGATGGTTGGTTTGCTCCCTTTTAGTTTTACCTTTAAATAATCCAGATGATATGATTAAATGTTTGGCTTGTTTTCTGACCCTCTCTGATTGACTGCCTTGAATATTAGTCTTCCATTTTTTCCATGTTTACAGACTTCAGCACTGATGAAAACAGTGTTCTCATGATTTTACTCCAAAATAACCCAAACTGTCACGAAGTTAAAGGCAGCTCCTTCTGCCCTCTGAAAGCCAGACAACGCTGCCAAAGATAATCTAATGTAAAACCTTCCAATAGATGAGCGCCACGTAGCCTAAAAATCCCCTCTCACTGTCTTGCTTTTGTTGTCTGTGGAAAGTTACATCAATGTGGCATCACAGACTGGGTGCAGGAAAAGAAAAAAAACAACAGCCTTATCTTGTCACGGTAGACAGCTATGACTGGATCAACTACTCAGCAGCACAATGTGAATAATCAGAGCTCATAGAAAGCAGCATACCTCGCAGTCACAACGCAATACCGCAACCTGTCGCAAACCACTGAATGGCAGAAGTTCGACTTAATGACGGCCCCGGTCCTTGCAGCCAAACGGTGAAAAGGAGATGTGTTATTCCTCCCACCCACAAACCTGTTGTGCACAATGCCAACCACTTACGATGGTCTGAAGTGGTGTTTTGATGGAGGAGATAAATGAGGTTTGGGCCGATGCCAGAGTCTGGCACAAGGTGAACATCTCCTGCCAGAGCCATGGGAAAGTTAAAGTACTTACTGTACATCGCACCTCTTTAGCGTCACACCCTCTTTAAGATTGCGATATTTTAGTAATTATGTTTTATTCTAGCTGGATAAAAACTTACTTTATCTGTTAATCTGTAGTGCATCGGTGAAGGTGGACTCTACCCACCTGGAGGCTCCTTTTACCCAGTTCTTGCAGCTAACACTATCTGGCTGCTAAATAGGATCAGCTAAGGACTAAACTGATCACCCCGTTTGAGAATTGTGCTGTTATTTTCCTGTGAGATATGACCACTGAGCTCATTTCTTGGAGACGAGGGTGCAGTCTTTTCGGTAAAGCGTGATAAATGTGTGTTGTCTTGTGCAGCCGGGCTGGATGGTGCAACATCTCCACGGTCTATTGAGCCTCTCTGACTCATGCAGCACACAGTCCCACGCAGGACTCTTCACACACACACAACACACACCTCAAAAAAGTCAGTATTTACCTTCTAAATTGGTGGAGTCATGAAAATTTTGTGTGAACTTAATTAACAAACTGCTATTAAACACACAAAGTATCAACCGCTTCCTCAACTGTTGCTTTTGAACTGTTAAAAAAAAAATCCCAGATAGTCACACTCGCTCTACTTAAGGTCCATAAATCCCACATTAAGAATGCGCTCTCGCCGGTGTGATGTTGAGTTTCGTGTATCCATAAAGGTGTCCCATAAATGAAATAAATGTCTACTAAAAATGTCAGGGTCTCGGGGAAGCTTCTCGCACGCCAAGATAAGCTACTTTCTCCTGCTGGCTTTGTATAAAGTCCAGATTCCTTTCTGCTCTGTCTGGTCACTTCCAGCAGACTGTTACTGGTCATCTTTAGGGAAGATTTATAAAAAAATAAAAAAAACCATGGTATAGATCATCCTTGTGAAACACAGTCAAGGGGTGTTTGGAATTGCAGCACTTAATTCTAAGATAGTGAGATGATCCCTTTTTCTTCATGGTGATGTTACATATTTGGGAAGTATGTGTTGGGTGCTGGGATGAAATGTTTAAATTGCAACATAACCTGCACTGTTGTTTAATTTGTATTTGGAGCAAAAAAACAAAAAGAAATCTTCAGTATTCTCAGTGTCGGTGCAACTTGTTCCATCATTACAACTAAAAAAACAAAAAAGGAAAAGCAGAAAAAAATTCAGGATGATTTAATCAAACTTTCTTTTTTATATAATTTTCTAAACTTTTGCTTATAAATTATCTACAGATTATTGGCAAACTGTTTTTCTTAGGAACTAACTTATAGGAAAACAATTTTGTCCGACAAACAAAATAAAACCCTCCACACATCACAACTCACCTCCATGACCCACTGTCCACGTTATCACTTGTGATTATTTTATTGCTGAAATATACATTTTGGATATGCTGCAATTTTAGATGTGTCAGATGATGGAAAAAATAAAATACATAACCCTCTTTTTTTTTTTAACCTCTCCCTCACACATTTAATAATTTATGCACAACAAGGTATGAATCTTACAATAAAATCAATATTTGATTCACCTTTAAAAAGTTGAATATGTAGATCATATGATTCTGAAAAAATATCCAGATGAGAGAAAGATGTTTGAACAAGTCAGTCTTTCACTTGTGTTTTAATGTTTTGGGGTCTTTTTTGGTTGTGAATCATTCTAAAATTAAAACCACATCAAATGTTTTCTGCACTCATTATTAATCTAATCTACTGACAGTCCCAAAAGAGATTTGTAAATGCACAAATTTCCACTGCAGGAAAACTTTTCAAACGTTTTATTATTTATCTCCCTTGATTCTACCATCAGAACAGGCCTGTTTCTACATTTAGTTTGTCTCAAACTGTTTTGTTGTTAAAAGAAGTAAATGCTATAGCATAATGCTCACATCTGATTATAAGACAAACAATAACCAAACTGGAAATCACTTTTGTTTTCTGGGGCCAAACAGAATCATACAAAAGTGAGTCAAGAAAAGATTTTCAGTACAAAAAAAATGTCCCTTTAGTTGCACAGAAACCTCCCAGGAAACAGGTACCTCGCATTGGAGTCGCCAAAGAGCAGAGCGAGCTTCAGAGCATCCCTCCACAGGACAGGCAGTCCGAGCTCCAGGGCTGGTAGTAGTAGTGCAGGTAGGGGTAGTACTGGTAGCCCTGGTACAGCGGCACAGTCATGGGGATGCGCGCTCCACAGCCCGGATGCTGCTGATCGTCCCTCACCAACACTTTGACCGCCACCTTCTTCGGTGAGCTGCACGCAGCCAGCTCGGCCACCATCTGGCGCCGTTTGGTTTTATATCTCCGGTTCTGGAACCAGATCTTCACCTGGGTTTCTGTGAGTTTCAGGGCTCCGGCCAGGTCGGCCCTCTCGGGGCCTGAAAGGTACCGCTGAGCGCTGAAGCGACGCTCCAGCTCGTGGACTTGTGCGTGAGAGAAGGCCGCCCTGGAGCGCTTCTTCATGCCGGGCCTGCACCGCTGCTCCCCGGCCGAGCAGCTGAACGGCTCCCCGCTGTGCTGGTCTCCCTCCTCCTCTGCGTCCAGCTGGCTCTCCTGCAGTTTGTCTACATCCGCACACTGGGGCTGCTGGTCTGCAGCGGCTGGAAGAAATGAAAATGTGTGACCACAGTAAGTTTTGGACAGAGCTGGAGCTGCCTGAGAGGTCGATCATCAGTCAGGTGCTGATGCTGTCCACTGTGGGGTCTCCTCTTATGTCTCTGTCACAGTGGAAAAAGTCTGGTAGATGGAATGAGATATATATTTATTCTGACCAAGTCCTCAGGTTGGATAGCACATTTTTAATTTATACAAAAATAAGTCAATGAAGTCCTGATTATTTAAATAATACATGTAATTTCTGCGTTTCGTGGCCTCACTGAAGAATCCTTTCTCTGTGCCACGTGTTCACAGTGTTGTTATGGTATTTATATTTCAAGACCTTTCGATTTGTTTAAGACATGGGGATGTTTAAGACATTACCTTTATTTTTCAGTAGAAAAAAGTGGGGGAATAGGAATTAATTTCATCTATGCAAGGACTGCTGCAGATATCAATAGATTTTTTTCTAGTGTGAATTACAGCATTTGATCTAAAATGTAAGATGAGGTGAGACACGTTCATCCAGCTTCCAAAGTTCCTTTCTTGAGTTGTTATTATTGTAATTATTATTATTTGATTTGTCTAATTTTAAGATGACAATTTCTGCAAATGTAATCTAAACGCAAAAAAGCAACCCACTACCTAATTCCTAATTTTCACGTGTCTCAGTATAAAACCACACCGTCTTCAGAATCAATTCCCACCTCCTTCGTGCTCTGTCTCCTCTCCTGTGGCCTCCTCCGTGTAGGTCTCCGATCCGAAGGTTCCAGCAGACGCACTGACATCCGGAGAAAGTGTCTCCGGGTGGATGTGCTTCTCATCCGCGTCTTGATGACACAAATCACTCGTTCCACCTTCTCCGAGGCACATGTTGCTCCTCGGTGCGCAGAGCTCCTCTGTCCCGGTGGAACCGGGCTTCCCTCGGGCATCACCTCCGGTGAGGATGTCTTTGATAGAAAAGGACGAAAAACTTAATGTCATGGTTCGAATAAGAGCACGGATGTCCCCTCACTCTCCTGTGTGGTTTATTTGGAGGCATCAAGAGATCAGCCACTCGCAGGCGAATTCTCACTGTTTGGATGTTTTCACCGCTTCCTCTAATTTTTCCAATTTAATTGCGGTGAAGTTAGTCCGGGCTGCTAATGAGCAGCCGTCAAGACTCTTACAATATTGTCAGCAGCAGCAGCTCCAGTGAAGCTTTGATAGGCTGTTTTCTCTGCCTGGTCCCTCCTTCGCACCGCCCAGCTGCGCTCTGTGCGCTCAGCATCTGACAGAGAACCAAGGACACGTTTTGTTTTGGTGAGATGATTTCAATTAAGTTTCAATACGAACACAAGGAATTCCTTTTAAAGGGTTAATATCTCCAGAAAACATTTTTTAAGGGGCTGATAAAGCACGAAGGCACAAATAAGTTCATTTAGCCTGTTGAGCATTTTTAATTCTACAGTATTAAACACCAGTCACAGGCTCTGAGTTGGTTGTCCACTATAGTATCAAAACACAGATTTCTGTGTATTCAAGTATTACTTAAATGTAAAATATATGTGAGGAAACCATCATTGCGTTTACCAAGCGTGCGTAAAGACGCAGCTCAGCTCGCTGACTGACATGTACATACAAGATACAACTATTAAGACACTTGACTTTTCGCTTCCACTCAGTCCTTAATTACTCTGACAAGTCTCTTTATTATAAATGTGCTTTCACCCATTATTTCATCTCACCAGTTTACCAGCTAATTCTTCGTCATTCTGAATTTACGCAGTGAGTTTTTTTTTTTTTTTAAATCTCCCACCTGGGCAGGGATACAACTGTAATACAAGGACAGACACCTCAGACCATTTCAGTTTGAAGACGTCCTTCCAGCTCTAACAGGTAAGTAGCGCCGCCTCGTGGACAGGACTCGTGGTCTCCAAAGTGTGAGTGTGCGTAAAAAGAAAAAGATGGCAACTATACTTACGCCCCCACACCCCAGTCCGCACCAACAGACACGCATTACACAATCAGGCCTCCACTTCAGCTGAGGAGAGCCGATGACAGATGCAGCGATCTGCCTCCTCCATGTTGTTTTGTTTTCCTTCTCTGACTAAACAGTGAATGTCTCGGTTTGCCACAGAGCTGAATCAGCTCCAGGGTGTCAAAACTTGTCTGGAGGTGAAAACGTGGAACTTCTGGCACACTAAACATGTGTCATGTGGTCAGCACGATTACAAAACGTAACCTAAGTTCAGCAGAGCTACTATACTATGTTGGTGTTTCGCTGATTCCTTTACTGCTGTAATAACTGGTGTCATTGCTGTTGATGGTAGTAAATGAAGCAGGCTTTCTTTCACGCAATCACAGCGATTATCATCATATCTTCATAATCTGCGTCCAAATTGCTTTTAATTATATTCTCAGCCTCCTTTTTATTTGCTTGATAAGTAGTTTCCCCCTAAACTCACACGCATGCACACAGTAAATCCTCTAAATGGCTGCATGCAACAATAAAAATGATTCTAGAGAGTATATATGAATATGTGAGAAAATTAAGATTTCTATTACGCGCAGGAAAACTTTGCTTCATCAACATGCCTCCACAGTCTTACCAAATGTATTTGTTTTATATGCAGTCTATTGGATAATTCTCAATCTTTAAACCTTTTCAAATGAATTTGAAATTTGGTTGAGAAGCCTAATAGTTGGTAGAAAATCTGAGATCCCAGTAAAGTCTTTCCTTATCCATGTGATGCCTAATGGAAGAGCCTCTACTCCAGCTTCTCTCCGCGCACTTTTTCCTTCTCTATATTTGGGCCACGGTTCTTTTGTGAGCTCCTTGAGTGGTTGCCATTGGAGACTTTGTTTTGGGAAACTCCACGCCGAGCGCAGAGATGAGCCGAGCTGCTATCTTTGGAAGCGCAAGATAGCGATCGCAGCGCCTGTCAGAGCAGCCGTGGCCAGGCCGCGTCCTCAGGCATCGCCGTCCTGTCGCCAACTCTATTTACACTAGTGACTCTGCAGCACTTAGAGCTGACACCAGGTATGTCCTACCGGCAGTGCGGTAGCCAGGGGAAGTGTCCGGGGAGGCTATAAGAGGAGACAAACACCCTGTTTACTTTGCCATTCGTCTCCATTAATAGCGTCTGCGTATTCGACCGTGCCTTGTAGGTGGAGGTGTCCCTCTCCAGTCACTGTGTGTTTGGTGTGTGTGTGTTTGTAGGCTTGAATGCGGGGAAGTTTTTAAGTAGTTAATTGTTCTAATTATTTTTTTAATGATTCGTAAACACCATGATTAAACCTATTAGTATTATTTTATTATCATCATTATCATTATTAGTATTATTATTGAAAATTATCTAGCCTATTTCTTTTTTTTTTTTTTTTTCCCAGAATCATTTATCCCAAACAATTCCAACCATATTTATCATGCATCGCTGTGTTACTTTCGAAGCTCTGTGAGTTTCAAGGATGCTGGTTGTCTGGTTAATGTCCATCCCTGAATCCTGACCGGACATTAGCTCGCCTCTAAATTCTCTCTGTTTCTGGTTCTTGTCTCAGACCAAAGTCTACTGCAAGCTTTCTCACAGAAAGGAGAAAAAAATGCTTCTCTGGCTTGAGAAACGATTTAAGACGATAAGAAACGTTGGAATAAACTCCACTTCATATAAATATGTATATTTTGGACTTTCCCATCCAGATGCAAATAAATGTTGCAACGCAGTAATAAATCCGAGCGGTCATTTAAAAAAAAAAAAAAAACTCACACACAAAGCACAGAACAATACAACCACCTATGTCCTGAGTCTTGTTATGTCATTTAATTTTGTCATCGCTGATCATTTTTCATCGTTATGTCATTTGTAACTTGAGCGTAAAAAAACAGTCCAATTGCGTAAAAGTTTTATTCAGGTCATGGGCTCTCAGTGTTCACCCACTTTGTTTTAGAGTAGAAACAATGGCTCCAGGTCAAATACAAATCCCACTGGTTAAAACAAAACAATTTAACAAACATAATAGTACAAAACTTTTCTCGCTCTTGTGCTTGATTTTGTTATTTTCTTGCAATTTCGGGCATCAAATTAAATGAGCTTAGCTGTAAAAAAAAAAAAAAAATCTTGAAAGACTTTCTACACAAAACGTGTATGCGTAAATGAAAACGACCAAACAGTTTCCCTTTATTTTTAGATACACACTAGGTCCATTTCGAACCATTACGCACAGCTTTTGCGCATTGGCGACATTAATTCCCACAATAACCCAACAACAGTTTTCGACTTTTCTAAACATTACGGCTCAGAGAAAAATGCGTAAACTATATGTGTGTTTTTAATCTCAGTCAGTTCATTACATTTTCTTCATATGCCTCCTTTGAGCTACAGCCACCCCCCTTGTACTTTCTGTGATGTGTTACGGAGTTTGAAATTGTGCCTTAATTGCATTAGGTAACCGGGTTTACATGCATGAGTCCTTTCATCCACCCAGAGAAGTGTCTCCCAGCAGTGATTGCGCGTAAACACTGCGCTACCATGCCCGGATACCCTGCAGAGTTCCTTGGCAGGGTGTGACCACTGCTCCCTGAGGGGCATGGCTTTGCGTCTGTGCACCGAGGTTTCCCAAATTCATGTTCATGAAAGCGTTAGCGGTGGTGTTGCTCGGCGGAAGAGCAGGTAAACTCGAGTAAGTACAAGAGTAGGTGTTAGTGTACACCGAGTTGTTGTAGCTGTAGGCTGGATAGCCGTTGTAGCTGTACGGGTTCGGAGCTCTGACGCTGTAAGGAGGATTGTAGTTCTGGGATCCGGTCAGACAAGGCCTCCCGTCTCGGACCAGCACCGGCACGGCCACCCTCCTTGGCGGCGGCGGCGGGTGGTGGTGGTGATGGTGATGGCCTGCGATCTCCAGACTCTTGTCCTGCCGCTGCCTCTTGCATTTGTACCTCCTGTTCTGGAACCAGATCTTGACCTGGGTGGAGGTGAGTTTCAGGGAGCTGGCCAGGTGCTCCCTCTCCGGGGCGGACAGGTAACGCTGCTGCTTGAAGCGTCGCTCCAGCTCGAACACCTGAGCCTGAGAGAAGAGGACGCGGGGTTTCCTCCTGGTCCTCTGCTGCTTGGTGGCGGGTTTCTCCGAATCTGGATCCTCACAGTCACCCCGCAGCGCAGCGCAGCTCTCTGCAAGGAGGAGAAACGTTTTACTTTTATGCTGTGTTTTGAAACATCTGTTAAATATTCCATAATTTCCCACATGAATCACTCTGATTTTAACACACTTGAGTTTATTTATTCTCCTTATTTTCCTAAAACATTGAAGCAAAAACAGCTTTTCCATAGCTACTACATTTGTTGCGTAATTTTAAAAACGGATTCCTTATAATTTGTATTACTCTTCCCACAATACTCACACTTAAAATGTTTATGTGTGAAGTTTTCTTGCAGATTTTTATTTGAGAATAGATAAAAGTTAGGTCTAAAGATTCCACTGAAAGATTGTATCAAGAAGAAATTGTGATCTCAAGTATTTCTCAATTCAGGATGTTCATAACTTGAAAATAAAGCTCAGGGTAAATACATTTTCTAGGATTTCTGCTTATTTTTGTGACGATTAATTTAGACAATAATACGCTTTTCTTAAGCGACTTATATGAATTATTACTTCTATATAAACCAGTACGCACGCAAACATTTAAAGTCCTGCAAGAGGTCTGCACAAAGTTGGAAGATAATGCATGGAACAATAATTCTTTATTTTATTTTTTGTAGGCGTCCATTGTGCAAGCTGTGGCTCATCTTATATACATTATTTTAGTTCTAAATTATAGTGTGTTCACAGGAAAAAATATCAGGAATTAGACGCCTTGATATTTATTTTAGTTTAATTTTATTTCTTAGTTAAATCAATCTAGGAGCTGTTTCCTTTTTGCATCTGGGGAACTTTTATATTCTTCTTCTACATGAATCAACAATTGCTATCATGTCAGTAGGCAGTAATTATTTATTTACGAGTGTAAAATGACATTAGGTGCTTGGTTGTTTTCTACGTTACCATTCTGATTATAGATGACTCCTCTGACATCTCTGTCAAAGCTATTATTTATATAATCACCAACCCCACCGTCGCTAATTTTTTGTATAAATTAGAACTTTGTACTCACTGCTGTCTTGCTCCTCCTGCTCGTTCTCCAGCCGGAGCTCTGCAGAGTGGTTCTGTCCCGGGTTGCCAAACACCTCCACCGGCAGACCGGATTCCACCAACCGCTCCTGTGCAGCCAGCGTGTTGAGGTACGACATCCTCTCCTCGCTCTCCGACAGGCAGGAGCTGATGGGACTCGGACTGTCTCTGCCTGCCAACATGCAGGAGGGCGGCGAGTTAGAGCGGTACGATTTATTTGGGAAAGCTCCAGACTGTGACAGCGCGCCAGAGAGACCGAAGCAGGAGATAAACTGGAGCTGGTGCTGCTGAGATTGTTGCTGCAGCTCTAACTTCAAAATGTCCTTCACAGAAAAAGGCGTGGTGGAAGAAGTTATGACCGGGCTTGGAATCATTATTCCCTACAATAACAGCACTTAGATGGCAGATAACAAACAGTCAACACACCCAGAATTGGACCGATTTGTCTCCAAACGGCGCGTAAAAGAAGTAAACACTCCGTGCGTAAAACTGAAAGACGGTTGCGCGCTGCTTGTTTTTCATGCAGACCGAGGAGGACTGGTTTTCTTTCAGCTGTGACATCCCTCTGCGTTCGCTGCGTGTCTGTGGCAAGAGGGCTGAGAGAGAGAGAAAAAAACAGAGAGGTCGATCCTGTTTGGTTGGCTGAATTCAGTTATCTAGAGAAAGAGCTGGGTCAGCCAAGATGCTGTCCTCTCTCTTTCAGTGACGTCCTGAAGCGAGGGAGGGAGTGTCAGAGTCTCTCTCTCTCTCTCTCTCTCTCTCTCTCTCTCTCTCTCTCTCTCTCTCTCNCTCTCTCTCTCTCTCTCTCTCTCTCTCTCTCTCTCTCTCTCTCTCTCTCTCTGTATCTTTGGTATGTGCCAGAAATAAATTCCCAATTCATTAAATAATATTTACTCCTTCAACTCCTCTCAACCTGTTATTACAGATCTTAAAGGTAAGACAGTTTTTTTTAATTACATTTTGTGTTTTGCCCAGCAGCAAACACTAACACTGAACCGCACCAACATTATCACAGAATAAAACCGAAACAATTAACTATGATATTAGTATATTACTAGCGAGTAATCCTTCAGTAATTGGTTGACTTGATCTGGTAATTCCAGTAATATTTATAATCGTATTGTCTTTGTTAGATGGTATCAAACCAACACAGCTCCTCCCGTCATCACTACGGTGTTTTTAAGATTAGCCACAGCCTATCTTCGTTTCCTGTCTTGGCAATCCATGGATAAGATAATGTGTCGAGACTGGTTTGGAAATGAGATAAAATTGGCAACCCAAGCTGGCATGGAGAATACAAATATGGTGCTTAGTCATGTATTTGTTTCTCCTTCATTTGATAAAGTCTTATTGTTATTCTACACCAAAATGTCTGTCTGCAACAATGCTTCCTCTTGATGTTGGCTCAATGTTCATGATAGACAAAATCTTGGTAAAATATTGTTTTTTAAAAATGCTGCTCATCTGATTTGATCTGTTTCATGCGCTGCAAGGAATGGAAAGAACGGAATTTCGGCACAAAATATTTTTTGAATCCCCCAACAGAATAATAATAATAATAATAATAATAATAATAATAAATAGGTTGTTTTACCTGTGCGCTAAGGGGAAAACATGCTGAATCGGAACACCTCTGGGCGACTATCTGTGGCCAAGTACAGGCGCCATGGCTCTGAGGGCCCATCGCTCCTAAACCGCGTGGAAAGAAAAGGAGTGCATGTCGACATAATCTCATCCGCTCACCATCAACAAGAGGCTGTTTAGATTACGGCAGCGTCTTCTCCTTCTTCTTCTGCAGATGTATGTCTTTAAAATGGTCAGTTTTAAGTGGAGCGAGAAAGCAGAGGAAAGGAACAGGGTGGAGAATTTATGGAAGGCCTTAGCGACTCCCACTGCGCTGTGGCAGAAGTAAACGGAGGTTTTGGTGATCCTTTCAGTTTGGGCCCTGCATGGACGAAGCCCAAAACAGTCCACGTTGATAGTATTTGTCTGGATTTACTTATCAGAGCGACCACTTAAAAATTTCACCCAATCGAATGTGATTTTGTAACAGAATTTATGAGTAGAAATTATCTCGTAAAATACCCACAAAAGACAATAAATCTAGTCAGTTTGTTTCCCAAACATTTACCAATTCCTGTTTATTGTGCACAATAGTTTTAAGAGACAACAAAGTCTGCTGTTTCTTGTGTCGTTTTGCCGTTACGCATTCATTAATGCGTAATTTCGCCATTACGCATTCAATCGTGCGCATTCGTTACTGCGTTATGATACAGCGATAAAACGATTCAATTGTTTGTTAAACTGCGTTGCGTTGCAGATTGTTATCATCTCACTTAAACTAAGATATAAATAGCAAACACAAAAGTCCTGCTTCCAAGTTGATGCTGTGTCGCATTGTTGTGGTTTATGAGACTATCGATCATTTTAAAATTCAGGCTAATGCTTTTCAGTCTCCTTAAAGCGTCACGGGTCAGAGCCAACAGTTACCACGATAATGGTACAACTATCTTTCAAGCCCAAACACTCACACATGCGTCCAGCCTGTCGAGAACCTCAGCTGACCATCATCAGCGGGTCTTCGCGTGCCACCGGCAGCGCAAAAGTGGCCAAGCAGAGACGCGTGTTTACGCAGCGGAAGAGTCTGTTTCCTGCCTGTAACAAAACCCAGACTCCCAGAGAGTGTCAAGGAGCTGCTCGGTGCTCAATGCGACTCACCAATACATCATCTTCATTTCAGGATCATCGTGATAAGCTGGGTAAGGTCAGCACTAGAGGTCAGTGTGGTTACAGGCTGCAGAGCTCTGGACGGGATAATTTAAAGAGAATTTTAAAAAAAAATCAGATTTAAAACTTTATACTTCTGCAGCATAGCAGTCAAATTTCAATCATTCCTCTCAATTCACTTTCTGGTGAGTTCTTCAAAGTTGGTGTTTTGCCAGGCAGTGCTGAACATGTCTCTTCTTGTTTCTCTTTCTTCTCTCCAGATCTCTGGCAGCCTAACCTACTGCAGCAGTCTCTTTGCTTCGGAGTGGCAGGTGTACAGTGATATCAGCGGCTGCAGGCCCAGAAAACCAATCTGCTGGGAGATGTAGGCTCGTTCTCCAAAGACAGCAGACCTCTGAGCTGGGAATGGAAGGTTTGATGACTCGGTAATGACTGCAATTATCTTCCCCCCTGTGGTCCCTGCTTCTGTAAAGCTGAGAGGTGATCGGTATCTGATGGTTTTACCGCAGTAGTAAACTCTGCTTAAAGAAAACATCAACACCTCCAGTGACTCTGGGTGTACTGTACACTGAGCAGGCCTCGTCTGTGTGTGCGTAGTGAAAGAAAGGATGTGTGGTATTATGACTTGACAGACCTTTGTAGAGGAACACTTCAGATCTTTCTGCAGAGGAGCTGGTTGTTTACAGGTGTTACCATAACAGCCTGGATGTGTGCTGAGAAACTGAAGCACGACTCTTACAGTCGTCTTAATAACAAAAATAGATTCTTAACATTACGAAAACAGATAAGCTGAAGTGCCAATTTAGTTTTCTTGTGCTAAGTCTATCAGTAAATTAACTCCATAGCTTGGTGTGATATCTTTTCCCCATTCGGAGAGCATTTTAGAATGTCTAAATAATGAGGAGATCAACTTTAAAGGACCTTAAAAATATTGATAGGGGCGCAGCTACAACACGGTGTTCTTGCCCCATGTGGCTGATAACATACTTTCCTTTTCCCTTTTATTTCATGGTCATCAGTAAGAATGGCAAAAGACCAAAGTGTTGTGTGTCAGTAATGGCTCAGTTCTTCTGGGTCCCGGAAGGTGAGTCTTATCAGCAGCCCATGTGATGGTGTCAGTAGCCAGGACCCAGACTGCGCTATTGTGCCCCTGCCTGGGCCCGAGTGACGGATGACAGCGCCTTCTCACTGGAGGAAATGAGGAGGCCAGAGGCGAGCCCAAGGCCAGATTTTTAGCAAAAAGAAAAAACCTGTTCTCACCCACTTACTTTCGGCACCTAAAGTGCCAAATATTCCACCGTGGCAGGCCTAAGGTGAACGTCGACTTGCGACCGTCCCTCTGGGCTCATTGTGCTAATCAGGTTAGGAAAAAAGATATCCTAATAAGGTAGTTTGTTTGAAATACTGTGAGAGGGTGATGTATTTGAGAACCAAAACCCTGTTCTGTGTATCAAAGGTCTAACTTGGAGACCATGGAAGTAGGAAGTGAAGTCAGGCCAGTCTGGATCCCCTGCCCTTTGCCCTCCCTTGGGTCTCATAAATTAGGCTGCTGCAATTCTCTCCCAGACTGCCCTTGCCCCAGCAGGTGTGTGTTTGTATATATGAGCGCTAACAGGGGGGATGTAAGGGCCGTAATATCTGTGATCTACGGTGTTGGGAATGTAGTTTGGGAGGAAACATGCAATCTAAATATGCTTATCCTCTCTGCGGCTGCACAGGCCATGTAGATAAAGGCATTGAATAGGATGTGTGGGCCTCTAGTTGCTTGTATGCTCTGTCCTACTTGGCCAGAGCAGCTGAGAAGAAAAAAAAGTCAAAATTAGCGAAAGGTTGAATCAAGTTCAGCTTGCAACTGGATGAACTCTAACTTGCTGAAGCAGTTATAGCTCCTTTGGGAAAGACAATGTTACCATAAAGTAAAAGTATGCATGCATCCTGGCCTCCAGAGCTAAACATCCTTGAGAGAAAATGCTACTGGCTGTCCAGCGACTCTGGTGGTATCTCGATCAAAGTGACAAATTGTTTGGGGAACCATCTGACTGGTCAAGAATTAAAGTTCAAATTTTGTAAATAATAATTTTATGAAATGCTAAGCGATGCAGTTTCAGCATCATGCTGCTGCTGTTGATAACAATGGCTATTTGTAACCACAAGTGTTGGCAGACGTCCACCCTCATATATACATAAATATATACACTGAGTCCCTGCTCTGTCGCTGACCCTGAACTCTGACCTCTCAGCGAATATGAGAAAGAAGCCCATTGAAAAAACATGATAGGAAAAAGTTAGAACTGTTGTCACTTAACATTTTGTGTCAGTTCACTTTATGCTGACAAAAAAATAAGCTGTCAGGTTAAAATTTCAGACATGACTCTTCCACTTCCTGTCTTTGTGTCTTAGCATGCATATTTGTATGAAGCAGGAGAGCCTGAGTTGGCCAAAAGACAACATCAATCAATCAGAACAGCACAGTGCAGACCTTGTGTTTGAGGTTCCACCCAACCTAATGACGTGAAGGCCACGCCAGCGAAAACTGTGAGTGACGAGCGTATTCGCAGACATCTGCATATTCTTTTGAACGGCGTAAATCTTTACATCAAAAAATGTGAACAATACCAAATTATATACATCCAGTGCTATTTTTTTAACTTTTACTGCAGCTTTGTTCAAGTTATGTGTCATATCATTATTTAATTAAATCACTCGACATTTATAGGAATATATTTGTCAGCTTTTCGATGATAAAGCCACGTAAAATAAATATAAGTGTACCTGCAGAGCCAGCAGATAGTTAGCTTTGCACAACGGCTGAACACAGGAGGAAACAACAAGCCTGGCTCTGTCCCAAAGGTAACCAAATCTGTCTATCAGCATCTCCAAACCTCGCTATTGTCCCATTGTCAAAGTGTAACTTGTCTTTCCACTTTGATTTTTGTACAAATTAAAGACACAAACTATAACGTGTCAGCTAAGTGAGCATTAGAGGTGGAGCTATAGGTGGATTGTGTTACCTTCAGGCAGAGCCGGGCTAACGTTTCTCCCTGTGCACCTCTCTGTTTACTATGCAGGTATGAGAGTGATATCTTCTCATCCACATATTTCCTATGGTGTTGAAATATTTTTTTTATTTTGTTTGAGTGGCACATGTAGTGATATTATCAGATCTTCTCTGATAGTGTGTAGTCGTAGCCCCAGTTAGTTTACTTCTTGCCTCCATTTTTTTTTTTTTTAGCTGCACATATTTTGCTGTGACGTTCATACATCTGAGCTTGTGGAACATAGAAATGCGCGAGTGCGGTACTGAGGGGATGTGTGGGAAAATTGCATTTTTTTTGTGCAAAATTAAAGTAGCGATTAATATAAATACGCTCACATGCGATTATTTTTGACTCATGCAGATAATAATACTTTAAGTTCACTTCTGCATTCAGTATGCTCTTGATCTTTTGTCAGATATTCACAGAGAGCAAAGGGGAGATGTTTGCATGCACCAACAACAGATTTCATGTCATGATATGAAATGGGGCACGCAAGAAAATTTACACGCACACAACTTGCGCAGACGTACACGCTAATGCTTAGTTGGAATGCACAGATCACCGTTGTGTGTTGCTGCATGCACGGCCCATCAGTCACTGGACTACACAGGGAACAACAAGGGGGTCCTGTGCTCTTTGTTGTTGCTGTGTCTAGTCCCTTGTTACAGAATTGATGACACTGTCTTTGGAAAACAAACAAGGCGGGAAGCTAAAAAGGTGGTCACTCACCACAGCTCTGTGACCCAGAGACACAGGGGCCACGGCAACATATGAGCAACGCTGCAGCGTCCCCCTTGGAATGTGCAGCAGTGTGTGTGCACACGCTGCTGTTTGTGTTTCAGTGATACCACAGCTGGAATGTGACTGTCTTGTGCCTGAATGTGTGCCTTTGTGTGTTTTAGTGTCAGTCTCCCACAGCAGCAGCAGCGCTAACCTGCATGCAAAGTGAAAACACAGCCATAAAAGAAAGCCCCTGTTTGCGCTGCCCTTTTACTTTTGTCATATTTGTATTGCACTGCAGGATGCCAAAATAAATGTTCCACATTTCAATGTCAAGGTAATGCACAGGAGGTACCTGCCTGTGAACGTTCAGCTGAGTAACTCATTGATCTGGATGTGACACACTCGCCCTGTGGGCACTGTCTTGCCAGAGGGTAGTCCTGTCACTCCCTGCTCTGACTCACACTTCACATCACAGTGCAGACCGTGGCCCTGGGGCCTCCTCAGTACGTACACACCAAACCCTGCCCTAGGCCCCCAAGCCTTGTTCTGGGAGCTCAAATCCCATAATTGCAGGGCTGACAGTGATAGCTAACATACGAGATACCCTCACCTGGTCGGAAAGAATGAAAACATCTACTGTCAGTGTGGAGCGAGCAGATGAGTGGGGGTGGGACCGGGTATGGGGAAAGTTGGTAACGTGTAGGACCAAGCAGGAGAAGAAAAAGAAAGTCACACTGTGTTCTCTGATGACCAGTATTAGGATTAATTGTACCATTTTTTATTAATCATACCTTGCAAATGTATCATAAGGCTTAACTAATGCTTTATTATTGCTTACTAAATCTTTAATTACAGATGATAGCTCATAGATGGATAGAACATTTTGGATTCAATTCTGGTATTAATCCTCCAAAAGCATTGCGTGTTTTGTGTTTTTCACTTTCTCTTTAATTCATGAGGAACCATTGGACAATCAAATCTGTCACTATCAGCAATAAAGTTTGAAAAAATCACAGTCGAGACCAGTTTACCAACAGCTTTACATTTACAAAGTTAACTGGAGGATGCAGCTTTAACTGTGTCTCTTTCAAAACTTAAAAAAGTTTGCATAAATAAAAGTGTATTTCTGAGCTACAGAGCTCTTCAAGTATTTATTACCAACTTTATAAGCACAGTCACTGAGTTTTATTGGCCATTTGGTGAAACACGAACGCGATATGAAGGTGCCATCGGTGTATCATGACCTTATACCAGTAGAAAACTATTGTTAGTGACTATTTACACATCCAACGGGCAACATTAGCATTACTTCAAGGTTATATTTTCTGTCCTGAGAGCTGTAAGTCCATATTTGTGTTCTTTTCATTCTGTCAGTTTCTACCAATTGCTGTGCGAAAGTTTGCTCCACCTGTTCAGTGACTTGTCATTAAGTTTGCCTGTCTTCTCCTTGGTGCTGCGATTAATCAGAGCCTTTTCCTGAAACAGCTCCCTGCTGCAGCTGAAAACAAGGCTGACGAAAGAGGCGAAGCTCTTGCAGCTCCCCCCCACCCACCAAAAACAGAACAAAAAAAAAAACAATACAACAAGCTGGAACGGTTAGATGACAATTCTCAGTGCATTTGACACTTGGGGTGAGACATACTGAAATACACTGCTGGGAAATTTGTGTCAAAAAGTTTTTCTACTAAATTACCTAATTATGCGTGTTCCCTCTCCCTCACGTGAACATCTAGAATCTCTGTATTTCGCCACATGAAAGTTACTTTCTCAGTTATTCTGTGGCTTCAGATTTCCACACCACACTTCTGTAAATTCTACATAGGACCTCAGTTGACTTCAAATTAGTTCTCCTACAAAACGTGCGTACGTACACTTGTTAAACTGACATCCACGAGACCCGTTTCCCCTTCAGCGGAGGAACGTAAACAAAGGCCTTACATAAAGATTTAGTGACCATAGATAAAGACTTTAGTTACAGATTATACGCCCTTCTATTGTATGTCTTACTGTAGCAAGCACAGACTAATCTAAAAGGAAATGATACTGTAAAATATCAATGTTAAGATAGACTCTATTCTTATTATGTATATTACACAGTTATTATCATTATAAACAGGTAAGTAGCACTTAAATGCTGTACTTAGTTTAGTGCTGTATACTACTTTCAGCATTTCAATCAGAACAATGCATCAGTGTCTATTATATAATCTCATTGTATGTTTTGTGTGTAAAATCTAATCTAATCTCCAAAGTAGAGACAGTAACTTCAGCTATAGCAACTGCAGCTGGCAGATAAATACTGTAAAAACAAAAGGGCGGGGTGAATTGTGCAACTTTTTTTTTTTTTTTCCAAACCTACCGGAGTAAAAGTGTAAAGTAGCACGAAAACACCCAAGGACCTTAGTACTGACTAAATATACCTAGTTAATTCCACCAAAAGCCTAAAAGCCATTACAGGGTTTTTCCTGGCTCAGAATGGGCCTTTGAGGCGTGACTGCACACGACAGCGAGCACGATCGGCCTGCGCACAGTAAAGGCAATGAATCCGTGTTACTTTATTTGACCGAAATCTGTGCAGTTTCCTGTTATTTCTGACGATTTGATGACCAAAGATGTCTGTCATGCTTGAGTAAACCCAGATTAGCAAAACTGGTTAAAAAAAAACAAAAAAACAACCACTTTGGAAAAAAAAGATGTTCGATTCTCATCATTCTGAGCTGGTGATTTTCCTATGGGGAGTGCCTGAAACCTCATGGGAGGGCAACAAAACACCTCTATGCAGTGGAAAAACCCCTGCATAGGTTGCAGGCCATATGACTTCATAAAACACCCCTTGTTTAGAAGTTGATAATGTTTAATGTATTCCACCACGACTTGGGTTTAACTGCACAAACTCTGCATGCAGCTGGCCATAACTTAGCAGACAGAAACATTAGGAGCCACTGAGGCCTGCAATCCTGCACCGCCACGCTGCTGCTTAGGAAGAGCAGGCGGGAGCGTCCTTCATTTATCAACCACTTCAGCTCGTGCAGACAGCTGTGTGGAGAGCACAGAGGAGCCGGCGTGTTTACACCACAGCTCAGCCGAGGCCCTCAGGACAGAACAGATGAAGATGCTTGCACATATTCATTTACACAGCCTTACATGCACTCACTCAAACGGTGCCGAGCCCGAGCGTAATAGCTGTTTACTCAGGGCTCAGATTGAGATTTTATGATCGGCTTTACGGCCTCGCCTTCTGAAACAGGCCTTGCGTTTTTGAGGATGGCACAGCTGTAATGTTTATTAGTCTTTTGGCTTTGCATGTTATTTTATCTATCAAAATGTGCAGAACAAACTAAATATCACCAGTTCTCCCATCAAAGCCTGCTGGGAGGCTCCTGATCAACAAGGATGTGGCTCCACCTTGTGGCCAAACCTTTTAGTGCAGTAAAAATCCTGAAGCAGCCTCCTAGATGTGGACATTAGTTGTGGGATTTGTCAGTCACGCAGCAGATCCATTCATTGGTCAGGAGCCGCCGTGTCTGTGTTTTCTCGAACTTTGACCTTGCGTTAAGATTGGCCTGGCGGATACATCTAACAAGCTGGATTTCTATTGGTACATCCGCTCACGCCCACTTTACGTTCCCCAAATCCAAGTTGAAGGTGAAAGTCTTCCTCCATCCCGTTTAGCTCGCCGCTCCGGTAAACCGCTCGTCGCTCGTCGCAGTCAAAACAAACAGCAGCTATGTCGGTGTTTTCTGACGTTCCTCAAGCAGCTCCTGTCGCTGTCTTCAAGCTCTCTCAAGACTTCGCTAACGACCAGTTTCCCAAGAAGGTGAACCTCGGAGTTGGAGGTGAGTTGTGGTGCTGTCTGTCACATCGTTAGCCATGGTAACGGTATCCAGGAGCAACCAGCCAGCCTGAGGGCGAGCTAGTGCTAGCTAAACTGAGCTAAATAGTGAAGCTAGCTAGCTACAATATGAACAGCTGCAGCCTGTGTTAAGCCAAACTCAGAGACCCATATTACTCTGGCCTGTTCAGGAATTTATCCTTTGTCCATGTCTGTGTTTTTTTTGTAGTGGTGCCGACTTATTTTATTGTGCTGGGAGTTGAAAAATGGTGTTGCCATGACATTCAGATAGTAATTGTAATAGCAGCTAACCTCCAAATTATTAACCCCTGACAGCATAACCTGTGTCAAAACAGCAGTCTCTGACACCACAGAAGAAGAAAAGGTGTTTTTATTTTCCATTATATGCTAACTGACATGACTATAGTGAGGATAATTAGAAATACAACAGATCAGTTATCTGCTAGTTGCTCTACAGTCATTCCAACTACTGATTGCAGCTGTGTTGATAATTTATCTGTGTTATGTAACGCTGTAGCACAAAGAGTTGAATCATCTCTGTCCTCTCTAGTTTCCACTCTTTCTCCCCCTTCCTGCCATCCTGCACCTCTCACGCTGTGGACCAGGGAGTCGATTGGATTACTGTTCCCTCGTTACACAAGAACCTGCTGCTCGCAGGACTTTAAATATGTATGGCCTTGTCCCGCTTCTCTCCTGAAGCAAGAAAATTGCACATTCCAGTCCTCAGCACGGCTGTTGTCCATGTTAATCGTATTGGAAGTAGTAATTCTTGCCGCTTACGTTGCAAAAGTGTGGGAAACGTTGCTGAGCTCTGTTGTGATTAGAACAGGAGGTTGAGGCCTCATAATCCCCTTCTCTAAGCAAGACACAGAGCTGCAGATGGTTCAAAGTTACTGGGCAGATGGGAAATGTAGGCCACACAGTGTCTAGTGCCACGTATGTTAAAAGTCATGTCTAGAGCTGAAAGAATGAGTCAATTCATCAATAAGTCATCTGATAGAGTCAGGTATTTATCAAGAAAGAAGCCCAAACCTGTATTGAAACTAACATCTGTAAGGATTTGCTGCTTTTCTTCATTTTATTTAGCAATAAACTGAATATCTTTGGGGTTTTGAAGACATGACAGACTTTATGAAATTGTGAGGTGCAGTGTGTCCAAATTAGCTGCAGTCTTTCCACCAAAGGGATCAATAACGTTCTATTGTATTGTGTTGTATTCTACTTTTTTATATTGTATTTTATTTTTTATTTTTATTCACTTCAGATAAAACTGATTTGATTTGTTGATAGAAAAGTAAGAGAAAACCCACGCTGTATGTGATATTTAGCCAGAGACATATTGAGCAAGCTGATCTCGTCTGTCCTGTAGGCTAAAAGGCTGTTCCCTGCTTTACTTGTTATCAGGTGGTGCCACAGGGTTCAGTGAGCTAAAACACACAACAGACGAAAGTACATGTCTGTTGCAAAGTGATCTTTCCAAGGTCACTGTCACATTCATCTTGTTTAAATAGGGTCAAAATACATCAAGCTTCTTTTACAGAAAGCGTTGCATTGGTGATTAAAATGCACAGAATGTTATGAGCCAAATACTAAATTGATTACACAAGATGATAATATAGTAAATATCCATCAACCTCACTTACAAGCTGCTACTAATAGTCTCCTTCTCTCTAAAATCCCATACTTGATGTCATCTGAAATCTTACGGCAATACACATTACTTTTACTCTTTTTTTCATTTCCCATAATGTTTGTTTCTTTGTTCCATGCAGCCTATCGGACAGATGAGGGCCAGCCCTGGGTTTTGCCAGTGGTGAAGAAGGTGGAGAAGATCATTGTGCATGATGACAGGCTAAACCACGAGTACCTGCCCATCCTGGGCCTGCCTGAGTTCAGATCCTCAGCCTCCAAGATTGCACTGGGAGACAACAGCCCCGCCATCCAGGACAACAGGGTCTGTGCAGTAAAACATCATACAGTGTAGTAACTTTTAATCTATTTCCATTTAAACTGACTCCTTGTTTCTGCTAGGTGGGGGCGGTCCAGTGTCTGGGTGGTACAGGTGCTTTGAAGATGGGTGCTGAGTTTCTGAGGCGATTCTACAATGGAAGCAACAACACCAAAACACCCGTTTATGTGTCTGCGCCTACCTGGGGTACATCAATGCTCACGCATTCACACGAACAAACAGTGGAGTAGCACAGAGTAGAAGTTAACACACCTCTTATAGACAAGGTCTTTGTTCAAGAACTTTGATCTTTAAACGCTTGAAAGTGGGTTCAGTAAACTTACTGTAGACTTTAGACTCAGGGTGTCAATAAAGCATCCTCTTAGTAACAGCCCTGTGACTGTTATATCTTATCAGTAAGCTTTCTTTTTTTTTTTCTATCAGTTCGGATGCAAGAAGCATTAATACAGCTATTTTCACACCTGTATCTAAAGGAAACTCATAAACAATGAGTTTTTGTTACTGTTTGTTTCAGAGAATCACAATGCTGTATTCACCAACGCTGGCTTCGAGGATGTCCGTCCATACAAGTACTGGGATGCAGAGAAGAGAGGCCTCGACTTGGCTGGTTTCCTTGGTGACTTGGAAGTAAGCAGACTGTGATAAGGACCGTGGTGCTTCCTAATTTTGGTCACAAGTTATTTCCAGCTGGAGTTGATACTACGTCTTCTTTCTGTTTCCCACAGAGTTGCCCAGAGCGCTCCATCTTTGTGCTGCATGCTTGTGCCCATAATCCAACTGGCACAGATCCCACACAGGAGCAGTGGAAGCAGATTGCTGAAGTTATGATGGTATTATACTGCTCATACACACGGATACAGACCAGCACATTGTCTGTACTGCTGTCAGATCTGTCGCTGCTAGCAGTGGTGTCAGTTTCAACAAGATATGGTTTTGCATACAGTGATTATCACAGTATGATGACTGTTTGATCTTTTATCTTGTTCTTTTCCAGAGGAGGAAGCTGTTTGTGTTTTTTGACTCGGCCTATCAGGGATTCGCCTCAGGTAGTCTGGAAAAAGATGCCTGGGCCGTCCGCTACTTTGTTTCCATGGGCTTTGAAATGTTTTGTGCCCAGTCGTTCTCCAAGAACTTCGGCCTCTACAGTGAGTGACGTTGAAACCACAAACTGTATTACACTTATAAATAAATTAGAATGCTCTCTTATTATCATCTACATGACATCTACCAAAAACTAATATGAAAGGGAAACAAAAGACAACAACAGGCTAGCAGTGATGTAATGTTGTGACTCAAAACTGACATTTAGCACGTTGCAAACTCGCCACAGTCGGAGTCCTTTATCAGAGCAGTAACACACATACCAGCACTTATTTGAAAGGCAGCAGCAGTACATGTAAATATGTCAATGACGTCACCAAAAAGTATGGCTGCAGTATGTATATGTGACGTGTGTCTGTCCCGTCAGATGAGCGCGTGGGCAACCTGACAGTTGTGGCTCGTGATGCAGACAACCTGAAGAGAATTCTCTCCCAGATGGAGAAGATTGTCAGAACCACCTGGTCCAACCCACCGTCTCAGGGAGCTCGCATTGTTGCCATCACTCTTAACTCACCTGAGCTCTTCACTGAATGGTCAGCACCAAACATGTAGATATCGCTCAAGAGGCGTAACACTCCTTGTCTGACAGAGACTCATTCGTTTTCATTTCTTTGACTCTAGGAAGGAGAATGTGAAGACCATGGCTGACAGAGTCTTGCTGATGAGGGCCTCGCTGAAAGCAAAGCTCCAAGCTCTGGGGACACCAGGGACCTGGGACCACATCACAGACCAGATTGGCATGTTCAGCTTTACAGGCCTCAACCGTGAGTACAAAAATCATGTACAGATGGTGAACGATTTCACATACATACACAAATCAGCAAAACCACCAAACACACACTCCTATAGAAACTACTGTATTTTACATTACAAGTTGCTGCAGTTAAACAGAAAAATCTAAGCTCTCTTTGGGGGAAAAATTGTGCATGAGTGCATGTGTATTGTTTCAGTTTTGGGGGGAAAAATACAAAACTAACCCGGTATGTCCCTAGTTTCTACAAATTCAGCCAAGATGCTGATTTACTAGGCACTTCTTAAACAATTCAGGAATGTTTGTAATTAATCATGATACTACTGATTGTATTCTGACACATACACATGTTTATAGTTTCTGTAAAATAACACATTTATTATCAATGAATAAAAAAATCTGTTTCTACTGTATTTAATGCAGCCAAACAAGTAGAATATATGGTGAAGGAGAAGCACATCTACTTAATGGCCAGTGGTCGCATCAACATGTGTGGCTTGACCACCAAGAACATCGACTACGTGGCCGAGTCCATCCACGAGGCTGTCACCAAGGTCCAGTAGAAGACTGCGCTGAACCCACAGCTCTCAGCACATCCTCCTGCCCAGTTCTGAGCCACCGTTATCCCAGGGGACTGTGTTTGTGTCCAGAAGGTTTTTCTGGAGCAAATATAAATTCTCATTTGCACAAGAACACAGACAGTTCCTAGTTTTCCCTCCTCCTTTCAGTGTCTGTGCTGAACCAGGCTAAGCACATCGTGGACCAATTTTCCATCAGATACATTAAGATGGTATTGATATTCATCTCCTCATCCAGAATATTAAGTAATTATGTTCATAATTTGTCATGTTGGTTTTTGTTAGTCACCTCCCTGTAGCGCGTAGTTCACTTTTTGTTGCATGTCGTGTGTAATTCGTTTGTGTGTCATTACCGGGACCTTTGAGAGGGTTAGTAAGTCTGTGACTGTGTTACAGTTACCTCAGCAGCGATGACTCTACTGTCTCAAAATGTCAGCTGTTATGATTCATCCATTCCAAGTGTTAATAGCATATTTTCAAATGTATGTAGGCAGCAGCAACAGTTGCTGGTATGAACACTTAAAAATGGCACAATGTCGACTCGACCGCACTGACACAGTTTAGCTTTTAGGAAACAATCCTACCAAATGTCTTTAGTATTTACTGCATCTACCATGACAGGAGTAGCACTATTAAGTCTTATTTCTGCAGATTAATGTGAACATGAGTCCTCAGGAAGGTATTTTTAACTTGAACTGTATAATTTGTCAGTGATAATGTCTACTGCCCAAAGGGGTTATAATAATTACCTCACTTTAAATGTGTGTCTGTGGAGTCGTTTTCTTCCACTTTACATTCACGAATGTCAGTGAGCGCTCCTAACAGATGTCATGACTCCAGAGTAATCTCAGTGTTCTCTGCTGCTAGCTGAATGTTTTTAAGTTCCTGGTTCTGTCAGGCACCTGCTAGCGAATGTTGACTGGTGGTAGCGCTATGCACTGTTATGTAAGACTCTCGTGGCACAAACCAGCTAATGATCAACCGGTTTTACTATCGGATTACTATGCACAGGACGCTAATAAAACAGTATTGTTGTTTAGCAATTTAATTGAAGCTGAAATTGTCTTCAGCCATTTTAATGGGATGAAATCACTCCTCCAATAAAGAACTTTAAATAATATGTTTTTGTTGTTGCCAAATATGTTGGAACTGATTCGGGTTTGTGTTTATGCAGCAGTGTTTACGAGTAAAGAGAGAGCTCAGAGGAAAATAAAGCAGCGTTCCATCTTTATAACGGTGTGAAGTGCAAAAATATAAACCGTACAAACAAAACAAAGTAGAGAAGAGTAATAGTTCAATAGCTTTATTAATAATTTAATTATCCCTTGTGTAGAACATACCATCTGTTTCTTGATATCTTTGGGTAACTTATATAATCATCTGAATTTACATTAGAAAATCTAACTTGGCTTATTTACCCCAAACAAACAGTACATCAGCTTTTACAAATATAAAGCAATGGAAACCCACTGCAAATTCTCTAAAAGCATTCTGCTGAGAGTTTCTGATTCACACAAATCCTCTTACTCAGAGTTAGACGTCAGATGAAACGACTTCCCGTTGCGTGTTCTGTGTGTATGGCGGGGGTCGCCGTAAATAGCTTACCAGTGCAGCATCCTTTGTACTTACATGGCCTTACCAGGCAGAATGAATTAAATCACTGAGTGTCTGCAAACACGGGAGGTGGTGGCTTGACGTCAGCATGTGTCATATTGCTTTCATTTTTCATATCTCTGTCTCTTTCTGTCCGGTTCAGCGGTGCCAAGGTTTCACAATGCGCCTCAGCACAGTCCACATGGGCGAACCTCGCATTATAAAAAGGATCAAATCATTATTTCGTTATTATAGGAAAAGACGATTTCTGGAACAATGGCTTAAAAACTTTCTCAGTGGTCTTTGTGGCTTATCTACCTTTATTGGAAAACTGCAGCCTAGTTTTGTGTTTCTCTGTTATCAGGCAGCATTTATTGCCTTTTTCTCATCAGCTTTCTATTTGAGATTCAATCTAAAACCTACAGTTGCTCAGGATTTTAGAAAGTCCCAGACTGCACCTCGGTGGGGAGAAAGCACTGCAGTACTGGTATCCTATTCATGCATCCTTTTACACAAGCATGCATACGTTAAAAACAGGGTGCAACGGGGATAGTTCTACAGTAAAAGCAGCATTAACAAACATGCAAGTAGCGACTACTTCTTCAAGAATATCCATTAGGATCTCTAGACCCATAGATCCAAAACCCCTAGCTTATTGTTAGTTGGTGTATGCAGCTTCAGTGACTGACCCTGTGAGAGATGAACTGTACATGGAAAACTCACTAAAATATATGAAGCTGATGGAAGTCACCAACAGTGTAATGACGGTGTTCTATTCAACACGATGAAACAACAGATTAATGTTTCTTTTTAAAGCTGATAACACCAAGAAGAAAGATGAGTAGGTGAAGGTTTGATAGAAACACTAAAGTTGTGTCTACACAGCTACATAATGCAGAGAGAAGAGCATGTTTTTTAATGAGAGGACGTATAAAACAGATGTAGGAAACATGCCTTAAAGATGACTTATATTGCTATCTTTAAAATTACTTTTTGTAATCCTGACGTATAAAAATCTGGTACGTTAAAGTGTTTTTTCTTGTCCATTTCAAAACTGTGCAGTTGCTGAGTGGTCGTTGTGTACAGTAAGCATTCATTCAAGGTAATTTATGGCTTTTTTTTTTTTTTTTTTTTTTTACAACTGTATTTGTTTAATCTCGTGTAAAAATTGTGCTCTTGTCTGGTGGCTTTTTCTTCTTAGCCGATGGCTAGTGTGCTGCATTGTGTTGGCAGTAGGTGGCACCATTATGGCAACATTAGGACAGTTCCCTGTGCAAACAACGTTTTCAGTATGTGGGAACTGCCTCGTTATAACAATTAACTGCTTGATCAAGTAAAAGGTACAAAGCTGGCTCAGATGTAATCTAAGGACCTTGTAGGGCTCCATGTTGAAAGGTTTCAGTAACACATTGTAGCTCAGATGTAACGATTAAATGTTATGGACACCACAAAAAGGTAACATGGACAAAGAGTGGTTCAAACCTACAGTCCAGTGTAAGGCTGGATAAATCCAATACTGTGTTGTTTAGATTTGTCCAATCATCAGGCAGAAGAGGGCCGAAGGGGTCCTGAGTATTATCGATGGCTACAACAGATAGGATGGCTCAGTCTCCTTGTGAGAGTCGTGTCGGAGCTGGAAGGGAACCTGTGGATTGATGGAGCTAATGAGGATACAGAGTGAATGATAAAGAGGAAGAGGACGTGTGCTTCATCCCTCCTCCTTAGTGTCACTGTGCTAGCTCGTCACCGGCGGTTGCTCTGAACCTTCCTCCAAACTCTTGTCTCCATCCCGAGACTTTTTTCTCCTCTTGTTACCTAGAAACAGAGGAGATCATGATGAGATTCCGGCACATCAGCGCAAAAAGAAAAAAAAAAAAAGCCCACTGTGGCTGCATCAGTTTTCTCTTTATGTGCTTTACTGAAAGAAGAACTGAAACAATATACAAACCAGCACAGCTCCTGCTTTTACCGAATACCTAAAAATAAATGAGTCATATTGCATCCGAGCCAATGAGGACAGCTGCATGTGGAGAATGCGCTCTGCAGGAAGCGGCAGGCTGCTGAGAGAGATGCGACACATCACCTGTTGCTAAGATACACCTGGCACTATTGCTGCGTCTGACAGGAAAGTTGGGAACATCTGACAGTGCCTGTGGGCGTGCTGTGGCATCTGTGCTCATGACAAATTGCCCACTCACTTAATTTACGCAACAGCTTCTTCCCGATGTTCTCCTCGGAGCTGGACAGAGACAAAGAGCTGATGAAGGGAGAGGTGGACGGCTGGGAGACTGTAGGCACATCTGAAAGTGAAGAGAGAAGAGAAATGAGATGTAGATTATGCTCCCCGCTGTTCCACTGTGAGTGACACTTTTGAAAAACTGTCACTCTCGTAGACTTAAAGACTTTGTAGCTTGCGATGAAAGGCAGCCACTGCAGCCAAAAAATAATAATTGAATTCCCTTTATTCTCTAAGACTGTTTCAAGTTGGCTCTTTTAAGAAACGCCATCATTAAGCAGACTGAGTCAGAGTGAGTTGAATGGGATCACAAGAAAGAAACAACAAGCACGCCTTCTGCTGAGATACTGTGTGTTTACCTACTTTGGTGATAAAATCTTTGAAATATGATAAAAAATAACTTAAATCTAGTGTCAAATAATAGCCAACATCAACCATCATGATAGCGTAAAGCTGTAGCAGCAAAACTCCTGCGTGCATTGAACGGAACAACAGTGCATATTAATTACATGTTTGGAATTCTTAAAGATCCTCTCCAATTTTTTTTTTTTTACACAGGAAAAAGGCACATCATGAGCAAAACAAGCAGTCAGTGCCGTGGCAGAGTATTTCTACCATATAAAAATGCAGTACACTGATGAGCGTTTCAAAACATGGCTTTCATTCAAACCTAATTTACCAATTCTCGCATGATAAAAACATCTAGATTGCTATTTTTGACGTTTGTTGCACAACACAAACATCTCACATGATTATAAGCAGCCGTCAACCTGTAACTCTGAGCACGGAAGAATTTTGTTTCTCTGATACAAACAAATTTACCACTTGTCTAATTTCTTAAACTCTGCATATATGCATATATGTATATATAGACTACCCGGCATCATAAAGTGTTTTAATTCGTACTCAGCTCTCGACATTTTACCATTTTGAACAGGAATGAGGAATTTCAAACTGAATTCACCTTTTTACATCCACATTCGAGCCACTGGGCTTCTCTGAGAAGTCAGAAATTATTCAAGCATAACATTCAACCACTAAAACTAAGTTTCCTGTTCAGGAATGCAAGTAAGTAACTACAATTTGACATCTCAATCAATAAATAATAATGTGCTTTACTATTTTTTCTATTTTTTTGTAAAACAATAAATTTTAAAATCCATGGATAACAATAAAAATGAGATTTTATCATTAAAAATATCATTTCAGTTAAAAAAGCTTCCACATATTGGTGTATTAAGCATTACAGAAACATAAAAAATGATTTTGGTAATTACCAATGCTGTTAATTTGGAGCAGATGTGGTATAAACCTTACATTGGGTGGTGGTCTAGTAACTTTGTTAAGCACTAAACTGTTTATTGAAAGAAGATTAACAGATAATTGACATATGAATAAATGATAATCTAAGAGCTTAAAATTGATTTTACTGTCATACAATCTTATCAACAGGCATGATGAGGCTTTCTGTGTCTTTCTTCAGCATCAGTTTCTGGTAAGAACATGTATGGCTTCATTACTCCAATATTATTACTTGATGTTGTATAAAAGTAGTTTTACAGTTTCAGGAGGTGGAGAGAGACGTGGTGACTTCACTAAACAATGGTATAGAGTTACATCTAAGCTATTTAGGGCAGAAACAGAATATTTTCATCGACAAAAACATCTAAATATGTAATTTTGATACACATAGATGATTATTTAGGGGTTTAATCCATGAGTGGAGCGGCATTTGTAAAATAAAATTCTACAACATGTGAAGCATATGCATCCACCCTTATTTATTTTCTATATTTTACTTTTTTTTTTTTTTTTTTTTTAATTTAACTGCATAGATTACCAACATAAACATATATCACTTAATCTACTATCTTAGTTTCTTAGAATCGAAAACTGTTCTATTAAAGGAAAAAGGTAAACACTTCCTGGATGTTTTCCACTTTTGCAGATGAGCATATTGAATGTGTGAATGCAGGCTGTATGTAGCCCCACTCACCATTCTCTCCATAGCTTTCTGGTCGGTCCTCGTGGATGTAGGGAATCTCATCCATGCGAAGGAACACCGTATCGTTTGGACTCCTCTGCCCGTCGGATTTACTGCCTGTGAGGAGAAAATGAGAGCGATCAACTGAATCCAAGTCGCCAGAGCGCAGCAGCACGTTAGCAGCTCTGCCTGCAGAGGGAGGTAGAGAATGTACGATTCATTGGTCAGGTTTTATTTGGGTTCAGCAAAAGGTTAACAGTAACTAAGTTAGGATTAAAAGTCTGTGGTTTAAATTCCAGCTAAAGATGAAATACACCCAGAGGAAGAGACTCAGTGGGAGAACTCTGTGGTGTTGTGATTGAACATAAAATCTGACAGTGAATAACTACTCTTTTATTGACCACCATGGGAGCCATCTGTCCTCTGATTTTTCTTATTGACACGACCAAACACACACTAACAAACTGGGTGGCGTGTTACACACAGTGCAAGACAGATGGTATGTGGGAAATCCTTTAAGCCTCGCAACCAGTACAGATTGGTTGATGCCATATTTACACCAGTTTTTTGAGTGACTCACTGTGGGTCCTTGATGTATATATAGAAGTCATTCTTTACTCAAGTCATACATGTAGTAAAAGTCCATTAAAACGGCTGTTAGCTCCAAGATATGCCATTTTTGCCTTGTGTGCTACATACTAGTATGCATGCACATGAACAGATATGATAACATTATGTTCATTCTTTTTCAAAATAGTATTTCTAAAAGATTCCACAGCTGATTTCAGTTTACTTTTTTTATCCCATAATTACTTGCAGAGTAGATAATCTTCTAATAGCAAGCTGAAGGACAATATTCTGTATTTAGTTCCATTAACTATTCAACAACATTTTTATGACTTGACTCTAAAAATAGAGCCAGATTCTAACAGTAGTGCACAGTTTTTCCAAAATGCATTTACAAACTGTAACATCTAAAGCTATTTTGAAGCCAAAAACAAAAATCCCTGTTAACAGAAAGATTATATACAGTCGTCCTCGAAGTTAATCATACCCTCACATTAAAGATGGAAAAAAACAGCTGTCACTGAAATAAGCTGCAATTGACAAAAGTGATAATAAATAAAAATTTAATAAAATCACAACATTGCTTTTGAATTGTGGTTCAAAAGAAATATATAAAAAAAAACAAAACAATAAAAATAAAAAAAACAAGCAAACAAACATGATGGGACCCGTAAACTAATATTTTGTTGAACAACCCTTTGAGCGAATCACTGCAATCAAGTGTTTTCTGTAACTCTCAATCAGACTTCTGCACCTGCTGACAGGTATTTTGATTTCACTGCTAATCAGCAAAGTGCTCTAATTTATCCAGGACAGTTTTGCTTGTTTATTTAAATTATTCTTTTCAACCACAATTCAAAAGCAATATCTGATTTCACTAAATTAGAATTGAGCAATTTTTTATTTATTATTACTTTTTTCAGTTTCTATTTATTTGAGTGACTATTGGGACTTTTGCCTTTTCTTTAATGGAAGAGTATGAATACATTTGAGGACGACTGTATAATTAAACAACCGTTTATACTAATGGCTTAAATTAGGCAGCTAAGAATATTATTGCTAATTTCACTCCAATGACCTGCAATAGAACACTTTTACAAGTTCTTCTTTATTTCTAAAATATTTTAATAGGCTACAATTTGTTGTACATTAGAATACACGTTTCCAGTCCATGAAAATGTAATTTCCCTGCTCTTTTATCCTTTATT